TTTGAAACAAAACGCCGTTCTCTTCATGTGAGACCACTTTCATATATGCATTCAGTAGCACATTGATGTTCTTACTCTCTTTTGCCTTTCGTCTAACGGTGTGCGTGTATTGTTTCAACAAACAAATTCACCGTCTATGCTAAGCATCCCAGATCGCTCGGATAAATCCGGGTTTGCCCGGATTTTCATGGCGAAACCCGGCCAAAAAATCGCCCGGCCCGGATGCCCGGATATTGCCAAAAAACTTGTTGGAAATTCGATCAAATTTATGCCCTAAATGTCAAATCAGTACAATCCAAATAACCATAAGAAATACATTGAAAGAAGTTAGGAACGCAATCTTAGGGCAAAGTTTCCAACAAGTTTACCCGGATTTCGCCCGGACTTTTCAAAGGAATAGATCCGAATTTCGCTCTTGTTTTTCAATTTTTTTTATTATTTTCTCATTTTTCCACAATCATAAATGCAATATTCTTTTTTCTTCCGAAAATGATAATTGTCTCAGTCTATTCCGAACAGTATTTGAAACCGTTTAATCAAAATTCAAAATGCTGTACTCAAATGTAATTAATTCATTTATTGACACTTCAAACATAAGAAAATGATTGACGACTTCGATGTTGTGTTCAATATTTTATTGGTGTTTGTGTAATTACTATAAACAATCAGCAATATGAGTGGATCGACGTCGCGAACAAATGCATATCAGTTTGCATTTGGTTGTCGTCACGATCGGATTAAAATAGAAACAAAAACAAAAAGTGAAAATGCCGGGTGGCAAAAGCGGAGCATGTATTTGGAATGAAGAATACGCCAACCGAAGGGTTGTAACAGTGATATGATCGGCACATGAGCACCATCTCTACTGATTGCCATTATTGCAATGTAAATGAATAGAATGTCTGTTTCTTCTTTTTTTTTCAACATCAATTGCATTCGACTTATGGTAACTCTCCGTAATCATTAGAGGTGGCGCTACTTATGCGCATCAATTGACTTTTGCATTAGCTCTTATGTACTGTGCGTACCTTTTGACGCCAACGTCTATCCAGGTATCACAAAGGCGAAAAATGGCAAACTGTTCCTATGTTTTCATTTTTTGTGCGTTTGGCGCTTACTTAAAAGCGATTCGGCCCGGGAAAAATTTGAATTTCGCCCGGATTTTTGTGAAATTTTCGGGACTCATCGCCCGGATATTGCCTGGATTTCTCGGAAATTCACCCAGATTTGCCCGGCCCGGATCGCTTCGAAAAAAAATCTGGGATGCTTACTCTATGCTCTCCATTTATGTGCACACAATCGACGCGCGATGCTAAAAGCGAGGCGTGCATGTGTATGTGTTTAAGCAGGCCAAAATGTGTCGTTGAATGTTGTGTGTTTATTATAAACGTTTTTTGGTTGGCAGAAACGTGCTTGTTTTTTCTCGACTTTTTTCTTTCATATCACATAAATGTTGGCAGGTACGTTACGCTGCCCCCCCCCCCCCCAATTTAATGCTGGGATCTGACCGGTACCATTATTTAGTGCTCAATTAGTGCTGGCGAATGGTACCATCGGTTAATTTTATGCTGCGATAGGGAGCTAGCACTAATTGAAAAATGTGTAAAAACTCGATTTTTGGTTCTTTTACAGGGGAGCTGCCCGAAAATGAAACTTTTTTGTATCGTGACCGGGCTATAAAATTAGTGCTAGATTAGTGCTGGCAAATGCCATTCTCAGATCCAAAAAATGTTCACTGGAGGCCGAGCACTAATTGTAGAAGTGTTTGAAAAGTCGATTTTTGGCCCTTTTACGGGGAAAAGTCGATTTTGGCACTTTTACAGGAGAGTTATTATCAAAAATGAGACTTTTTTGTACTGTGACTGGGCTATAAAATTAGTGCTGGATTAGTGCTGGCAAACGCACTTTTCAGATCTAAAAAATGTTCACTGGGGACCGAGCACTAATGGTCGACATTTTTGAAAAATTCGATTCTCCGTACATTTCCTTCGCAAGTGCCTGAAATCGATTTTTTTGTATGAATGGCTAGCTCTCGCAATAGGATGCAGCAGAAGAGATAGGATGCGCATTGTATTTAAATGATAGCAATGCTATCCTATGTTAAGGCGTTGCGCTGTACAATTCTGGAAGAGTTTGTTTATAAAAAAAATGCTTGTAAACAAACCGTCCTATACTACTACGTTCAGTGTGCTGATACACGATGAAGCTGGGTGCCGTTATATACTGAGAGTGCACAAAGCAAAAATTATCCGCATATTTTTTCTATGCCAATGCATATATCTGGCGCCTGAGTCAAACTCTGTTGCGCACTGTATGTAGATTTCTGATGATTTCCTTCGAATTTCTGCCCATCACTGCTCGTCGATGGATCTCTTCTGCTGCACCCTATTGCGAGAGGAAATCGATTTTTTAAGTATTTGAACCTGAGAAAATGTGCGAAGCAGACGGGCGAGATGCCATTAGATGTGCGGTTTGTGGAATGAAATTTGTTCAGAAGTCTCGTATGAATTAACTGTACACACAGGGAAAAAAGGTCCAGATATTCGCTACGCCCAATTTTTTTTCCTGAAAAAATAAACCAAAATTCAGATTTCTCAGACAAAATTTTTTTTGAACCTCCATAATATAGGTAAAATGGACGCGCCAAAAAAATTTTGTCTGAGAAATCTGAATTTTGGTTTTTTTCAGGAAAAAAAATTGGGCGTAGCAAATATCCGAACCTTTCTTCCCTCTGTGTATTGGTACGCAAAACAGAAAGTCATGACACACTCACGCGATCAATGAGTCATATCGATTCTGACTCTTTGACTCCACTGACTCATTGCCTATAAAATGGAGTCAGAATCGAGCTCGTTTCTTATGACTCATGAAGAGCGAGTCACATCAAGTTAGACTCACTTTGGACAAATGGATGACTCCGATTATGACTCATATTGTGACTCACTTTATGACTCAATTATAATGTAGTGATTCACTTTTCTGAACAGGAGTCATAGAGCCAGCATTCGTACGAAAAAATCTATTTCAGGTACTTGCGAAGGAAATGTACGGAGAATCGAATTTTTCAAAAATGTCGACCATTAGTGCTCGGTCCCCAGTGAACATTTTTTAGATCTGAAAAGTGCGTTTGCCAGCACACTTCTACAATTAGTACTCGGTCCCCAGTAAAGTTTTTTTGGATCTGAGAATGGCATTTGCCAGCACTAATCTAGCACTAATTTTATAGCCCTGTCACCATACAAAAAAGTTTCATTTTCGGGTAGCTCCCCTGTAAAAGGGCCAAAAATCGACTTTTCAAACACTTCTACAATTAGTTCTAGCTCCCTATCGCAGCATAAAATTAACCGATGGTACCATTCGCCAGCACTAATTGAGCACTAAATAATGGTATCGGTCACATCCCAGCATTAAATTTGGGGGAGGGCAGCGTAACGTACCTAATGTTGGCGTGTGTGTATGGAACTTTTTGAAGGTCTTCTCAAATGATTACGAGCCGACTTTACCCGATGGGCATCTGAGTTGATCTAGTGTGCGAAATAAATACTTCAAAAAATCGTATACATGCAGGTTAGTGAAGCCATAGCAAGCTCTTCTGTAATGCAAATGTCAATCTGAGGACGGATTTCGATGTGCCTCGACACCAGCTACAACTTAGGCATATGGTTAAGGGTCTCAGGCGAGAAAATCGCCAATCGGGGAAATTTTCGGGGAATTCAGTCGAAAATCGGGGAAGTTGTCAATTTTTTTAAAACAACTATTTGTGTAGTTATTAGTGAAACATATCCCAGAAAAATGATTTTTAGATCCCAGAAAAATGAAGTATATAGCCGTTGACAACTAATAAGAAATCAGGGGAAAATTTCGATACGTTTTCATTAATTTCTCATATTTTGAGATAAATGAACGAAAAATCTATCGGCGTGAATATTTGAAGTTTTTCTTAGCCAACTATGGTTATAGTTCAACTATTGTTTCCGAAAAAATACGTTTATTTTATCAAAATTTCCAAAAAGTGTTGAGCAACTAATTAGAAACGCATATACATTTATAGTTATGTAGAACAATTGAACAAATATATTCAAAAATCGAAAAATTGTGAATAAAAATCTCAATTTTGTCGAAGAGTGCCAAATTTTGCAACTTGTGTTCACATTCTATCAAAATTTATCACATTAAATCACGTTAGGTCACTTCTACGCTCAACTTTTTGTTGGTCACTTTCACTCTCAGGCCCTCATATAGCTTCACTCTGTCGTTTCACAATTAAAATAACGCGTGTTGGAGTGAAGATTTATATAATTTCAATAGAGAACGTGATAAAGTGATTAGACGGTGAAATAAACAATAATAAAAGAAATTGTTTGAAAAAAAATATAGAAGAAAAATTTATCTTTCGAGAAAAGATTGGTGCTTAACTTTTCACTTTTTGGCGCTGGAATTTCTAATAAATAGAATAAAATATTTTTTGCAACCTGTAGCTCTGAAAATTTCTTATTACAATCACTGAAACCTCGATCATTTCTTGTTTTCATGTAGTGTTAAACTGTTTGTTGGTGGGAGATGCAACCTTGTCCACGCATTCCCCATGAAACAAGTACCATATAGTTTTGTGCAATATCAGAGATCTCATTTTGTCTATATTTCGAGATATTAGTACTTGCTTGTATTTGCCGAATTCCGCGCGGAACAACCTCATATTTGACTTGGATATGAATTTTGTACTGCGAACTTAGTAGCTGCTATTTTAAAATAGCAATAGATATTGCCTATAAATAGCAATGATGTCTCGAGATATAACCGTATGCAAAATGAGATCTCTGTGCAATATCTCAAGATCTCTGTGATTATTTTAGATGACTGATAAATGCTTTCTATCACAACAAAACCATTTCCCAATAAACACAATAAAAAGTAAAATGAGTAATGATCGACCTTCTTGATTCCACACATTCCCATGAAAAGTATTTACAAGTAAATTTAATCCATGAAGAGGAGATTACCTGAACAATCGCTGCTACTTGTTGATGTAACTTTTGTATATCACTGCTTGTTACGTCCATGTTTTGCAAATCTCTTTCAATAGATCTGAAAAAATAATTCATTGATTATATTGGTAACTTTAAAGGATTAATATCAATTTTCATTCACCTCAAAGTGTCGATTGATATATTATCCAGGTTTTGGAGATTCGTCTTAATCTCAAGCAAGTCTTTTCCAAAATCGTTCACTGTTATTTTTATGAAACGTTGAGATAAATTATCAATTTTTGATTGCAAATCTTCCATATATGCTGGATCGCATTCCCTTATGTACTCCTCGTAAATATTGTTGCACTTCTCAATCATTGCGCCAACCTGCTCATTGGAAAGTTTCAATACCGGATCATGGTCCTTATCAAGAATTTCATTCCGTTGCACTGGTGCCAATTCAGTGAAATTAAGCCAACGTTCAATCTTAGCTATATTTGTCTGGATTGCAGTCGCAAGACGGAGTAGCTTTTCGAGATGGATTTTCGACTGGGTCACATGTTCGCCCAAGTTATTATACAAATGCTTGAGAGCATCAATGCTGAGCGTTAATTTTTTTGCATATTTTGTTGATTTGTCTTCGCAAATTTTACGCCCCGTTTTAATGACATTCTCGATTTCATTTTTAACTTCTGATAAACTGCGATACCTAAAAAATGTTGAGGGAAAAATGTTAAATTTACTCCAATAAATATAATAAAAAATTAAATTTTCAATAAGAGATTATTTAAATATTACATTTTCAGGCAATGTTTGTATTGATCCTGAATGTTGTTGAGGCCAGCTGACGCTACATCCAGAATGCAAGAGCTTCGTTCAACTGTACGTAATTCTCCCATAGCACGATTAAGTCGGCTTTCAAAGTTTGCTTGTGGTGAAGTAAATGTTTTCAGTTTGGCTTGATTCGATAGGAAGCATTCCTCTAGAAGTTGAACTTGTTCGCATAATCGAAAAGCAGCTTCCGCTTTACCCTTTACTCGGTATAATTCAACTTCTTTCTTCATTTCGTTTAAATTTTTTTCATTTGCTCCAAACTCTTCAACCAAGCGCTATTAATTTATTATACAGTGGGAAAAACAAAAAAAAATTTAAAACTTAATTTATCACATTTAAAGAGCATTTTAAAAATAACGATTCAATCTGACTTAAAAAAGTGAGTAATTTGGTGGTTAGATATCTATGGTTGAGATTGAGACTGGAGTATGTTTTTTCTTCGATTTATATATTTGAAAAGGCGAGTATGTTTTCTGATGATTCTGTTGACGTTAAAGTAGTGGCGTACCGTCTAGCCTCCGGGGTTTTCACAGTTTCCAAGCGATAAGAGATAATAACATGGTGTCTTCGGCAAAGTTGTAGTACTCGAGGACTTCTATAACTTAGCTGAAGACAGTTATCTCTTATCTCTTATTAGTTTCGCGCAAATCGCACAATTATAAAAGCAAAATTTATATAGAAGTTTCTTTCTCTTATTATTTTTTGCGCTTTCAGCGAAACTGATAAGAGATAAGAGATAACTGTCTTCAGCTAAGTTATAGAAGATCCCAAGTACTACAACTTTGCCGAATACACCAAATTGTTATCTCTTATCAGTTCTGCGGAAACCGTGCAAAACCGCGACGAACCGCCAAAAACGAACATACATTCTTTTAACCATTTTTAAGTCGAAAGAAACTTACTCTTCTCTTTCATAACAAAATCAGTGAAACATACACTACTCTCAGTCTCACCTATAGAATTGTAAAACTGATTTCCCAAAAAATTATGATCAAGTGAAGCGCAATGGTGATATATTCAGCAAATCCAGACGTAAATTTGTATCGAGAATTACATAAAATAAGCGAGAGATGTAGTCGAAAGGGTGTCAAAAATGAAGAAAATATCCAATGTTCAAGTTTTGGTACGCTTTTACTGGGCTATTTTCAAGTTTCGCTTGTATTTCAGGCGCCTTTTTTAAAATTCAAAATATTCGTATTGTTTTTACGACGATTCCACACCAAGAGGGACAAAATTTGCAAGTGACCTCTCCGATTTCACCAGTGATGGTTTTTCGTTAGCCAGCATTGTCTTAGCCTTGGCTTACACCAACAACTGGTGTAAGCCAATCGTTAGCCAGCTATCTGTGTGAAATGAGTACATTCAAAGTACAATAATTTTTGATTTGCGTATTCTGATTCAAATCATACAAATTTTGAACAAAATTAATATATTTCAATTAATTTTCAATTTAAAAGTCATTTTTATAATTTGAGTTATTTTTTTTTCAAAAACTCAATAAAAAATGTCGATGTTTGGTTTCATTTGAACTCTGATCTGGTGATTTAAATGTCAATCGCAAACGTCAATTAAGATGAGTGCGTTCAGTTCTTACTGAAGTTTTCTCACTGGTCTACACATTCGTTAGCCAGTATACACTTATGCGGCTAATTAGCCAGCTAATTGGTTCTTCACTGGATTTCACTCAAACTTGGTGCATAAACTTCTTATGGGCAAAAACTCGCAAAGCCAAAAAATTGGGGTGACCTTCCCCACCTGAGGAAAAATTAGGGTGACCCAAATATTGAAAAAAATGGAAAAGGCACTTTCTTCATATTTTTACACTAGGAAAGTGTGGTACAAACTTTCAAAACTATGTACATGGTTGGATAGATAATCGATGGGGCTACAAAAAAGTTCACTACGACCACCCCATACGGGCCCATTCAGGCCCTGGAAAGTGGGTTCAAAGTATAAAATGTGAAAAAAAACTCCAATTGACGAGGTTCAGGAGATAAGGCGTCTCCACTGTCAAGTGACAGGTTGAGTTTCTTTTCGTGCTCCGTATATTTATTGTTATTTTATTGTTTTTTTGTTATTTATATGGTAATTTAATATAAAAATTTTGTGTAATCGTGGAAATAAACTCTGTATGCGTTCATTACATATGAAGTTTAATAGTATTCAGTGCGCAGTGTGATTATATCGTGCCTGTGATTGAACTGTGAACATTTTGTTGTGTTTGGCATCGTAATGTCAACACAGAGACAATGCTCGCGCGATGAATGCGCACCGAACAATGTAAAATTTGACTCGACGACCAAATGTTCCCAATGCCAACATGTTATCCATTTACCGTGCATTGGAATTTCGTTGAAAACGTCCGAAATTTCTTCCCCGAATATCCGAATTCTGTGCCAAAAATGTGTTGCTGAACCAATTGGCGCGCAAATGACGTCAGAGATGAACATGTCATTCAGCTCCGATGCAAAGTCAACACCGAAAGCCACCATGAAAACAGTAATGCACGAAGTGAAAATGCTCCGAAATCTGATTGAGGCCAATGGCGTAAAATTGGATTCAATTGAAAAAAAAGCCGATGATATTGTCAATCGCACCGAAAAAATAGCAACCACAACAAAACCGTCTATCCCAATGAAGAGCCAGCTGCCAAGCAGCACACCGAAAACCACACGAACTGTTTTTGAGTGACTACAGCTGGGCATAAATTTGTGAGTGATACGAAATTGATATGAACAACTGTAGGGTGTGAATGATTGTAGTATGGGTTGTAGACTGTATGTTGTGTGTGTGGCCTTGATTTGTATGTGTGTTGTGTACGGTGAATTGTATGAATGTATGAGTTTTGTGGTTTGTTTTGTGTTGTAAGGTTTTATCTGTATGTGTTTATGTTGTATTTATTACGTGTTTTAGTTCATGTTATTAGGTTTTGATTTATTCCCGTTGTAGGGTTTTTTGTTTATCGTTGTTGTTGTTGTTGTTGTTGGTTGTATGACCTCACCGTTGAGTGCGTGAGACAAGTGACGTTTTGGATTGAACAAGTGATGACGTCAACAAGATGTAGTTGTTGTTGTTCGTGCAATCACGCGATGACGTCACAATGCGAAGGAATCAATTTGCTATCTATCGGTCCCTACGAAGTGCTGTGCAATTTACTGTGTGCCTTGGATCCGTTTCGACTGAAGAAAGAATGATGACGTCATAGGAGTTACGGCGATAGTAGTTACTTGGCATGACACAGAGATGCGTAATAAATAGCTCATTGACACTCAACAAGTGACGTGTCGGGCAATATGCATTAGCATAACAATGGATCTATTGAAAGTCTCAGTTTGTTCGCTCTACTTGAGTCGCGAGCTCTTGCTCTATTGAAAGTCGCAAGTGAAGTAAGATTGTACTGCAGCGCTCGGCCTTTTATACCCGAGATTCGGGTAAGCGTACACACGAAGAAGCGAGAGCGGCAATGAAACGCTCGCTCTAACGCATATGCATATACAGCACTCAAGCGCTCACCGGCTGTGTGGGCCGTGTATTTTGTTGTTGTGTTTGTTTGCCTCCGCTTTGTGCTATGTTCGGATTACTATGGTGATCATAGGCGCGCGTGGCTTGGCGATTGACGTAGGCGAATGAATGTGTGTGTATTGGTGTGCTTGTTGAATGTGTAACGTGTAGTTTGCTTGATTGTGTGAGTGTAATGACTGCAGTATCGGAGACAAATATTCATTAGAAATGTAGCAAATTTAGACAACAATGTATTTGAGGAACTATATGTTTAGAGGTGCTGAACACAATCGGTCGCCGCAGAATGCCACTTCGAAGTCATTAGGGCTGGTGGCTAGGTGATCCGATTCGGGGTGTGTCACTGCTTGTGTGAAATTATGGAATTTGTACAAATTGTATTATGCTATTCAGTCTGTGATTAGACGGTGAATAAATGAATAATAGTTTTGAAAGTTTGTACCACACTTTCCTAGTGTAAAAATATGAAGAAAGTGCCATTTTCCATTTTTTTTCAATATTTGGGTCACCCTAATTTTTCCTCAGGTGGGGAAGGTCATCCAAATTTTTTGGCTTTGCGAGTTTTTGCCCATAAGAAGTTTATACACCAAGTTTGAGTGAAATCGGAGAGGTCACTTGCAAATTTTGTCCCGCTTGGTGTGGAATCGTCGTATACGGTGTTGGCGCACGATCCGATAGCATGAGACTTTTTACGTCACTGAAATGTGACGTGCTTTACAGTTTATTCATGTTTATAGTTCATGAATATTTTCACTAGTTTTGCTCTTGTCACATTCTGTACATTCAGTGTCCAATGTATTTTTGGTTTTTGCTGTCGGATCGTGATCTTTTGACGCAAAAATACGTGAAAAAAGTACCGTGTTTTTGACTTTTTTCACTTTTTATAATTTGAACCCATTTTTGGGAGCCCCAATGGGGTCTAAAGGAGTATGTTACTATGCAGTTCTTGTAGCCCCATCGATTCCCTTTCCAAAGGTACCAAGGTCTTGGTAATGTGTCAACTACTTCACAGTTAGATTTTAGTTGGCGCTAACACATTTTTTCGATTTTTTCAATTTTTTGAAAAATTTACACTGGGTGAACTCGAAAATGTTAACCACTTACAGCCCTAAGATTTTGGTTTTCTCATTTTCTACCGAAAACAAGACTCCAAACCAATTTTCAGCCAATTTGCAGAGGGTCGATCCAATTCTTAACTGATTTCGTGTGGAATGGTCGATACACAGTCAATCAAAAAAGGGTTCGTTTACCCATTTTTTTGCAATATCTTTTATTTTGTCAGAAAATTATGACGTTTAGCTCAAAAATTCCAACTTAAATGAAAAAAATCAAGGAATTGCACGAAAGAAAAATGGTGAAGTTAACGAATTTCTTGGTAGCACATCCTAGCTCATATGCTATAGCAATGTTTGACGTTTAGAACTGCTGTGGAAACTTTGTTGGGAGCGTCGCCAACCACAAATTTCTGTAACTATACGTACGTATGAAAGTAAAGTCTTTGTGTGTACGTTCGCATGAATGCAAAGAGTCTATGTGTGCGTTGTACACAGAGATGTTGATTCGTGTTGCCATATGAAAACGTCGAATCTGACGTCGCATCATGTTAGGCGGCGCTACTGATATACTTCGCTTCAATCGTCAACAAAATACATAGAGTATTTCTCTGTTTTGGATTTGTAAATCAAAAAAATATGGTAGAAAAGTGTTCGTTCATCCATATAAAAAAATCGACTTTCCAGCAAAGAAACGATCATTT